TATTTTGGTTGAGTTCACGCGATCGCGAAGTACTTGCGATGAATTGATACGACTATTGCGCGAATGCGGTCAGACAGAGGCCGCCGAACAACTCGTCGAATACAATACATCCGAAGGACATAATGTGAAAGTGTTTGACCCGTCAAACTCCCAGTTCGTAAGCCCACAAATACCGTTAGTATTAATACTTTACTCCATGTGTTTATAACTATACATACTGTACATAAAATAGAGGAACAGTACAAACAAAACAGGGGTTATTTTATTGTAGAAAAATTTTTAATAATCATTATTTAGATGGGAATTTCACATATTTTTAAAATCAATTAATACTTTTACAATGTAATGTTTTTATTATTTTACTTTATATAATAGTTTTGAAAATTTTTAGAATAAAAAAGCGTTACTCTCATAGACTTACCTATGGGGGCCTAAACCCTATTATACATAAGACTAACACTTGTGTATTTATTGGATATTGTAGTATTTGTCATTTATATGTTTCTCATTAAAAGCAACATAAAATGAATGTATTTATCTATTGATAAATTTTTCATTAGCCTTTATTATGTAGTAAGTTGCAACAAAGGTGCAACTTTTTGTTAGCCTTAATTATACATTACATTCTAATACATTTACGTTTACACAAAAAATATGAACAGATTTCAGTTATCAAAGTCTCCAATAAAGGGAAGCCTTGTATACAAAATGGATCAAAACCGAGAGGAAAGTGTGTTATAATAAACAATGTGTCCGAAGAGGTGGCGATTGAGTCGAAGAGATTTCGATATATATTTGAAAAACTGCATTTTCAAGTGGACGAGTGTTACGATTTGAATGCAACACAAATGACAACCAAATTGAAAACAATAGCCGCAGAGGCGGACCCCCTGTCACAGGCGTTTGTTGCGATGATTATAAGCCACGGGTTAGATGAGAAGGTGTTGGGTTCGGACGCGTGCAAAACCATACGAGCAATGAAGGCAAAAGCCAAACAACATGGTAATGCAAAATATCATGATGCTAAGAAACCGAGATTGACCGACACGGATGTGGTGGACATCAAAGATATTGTGGACATATTTTCCAATACTAATTGTCCCAAACTTAGCAAATGTCCGAAACTATTCTTCTTGACGTGTTGTCGAAATTGTAAATTAATTAAATTATTTATGAACTATGTGGCTAACAGTCCCCCTATGTTGACATGTTGTTATTGAAATATACACCAAATTGTATGTTTTATTTCTCAACATTAGCTCCAAAACCAAAGCAACAGGAAGTGGTTAAAAGCGATACTTTGGCCAAACCTATTGTGACCCAAACGGCCGCACAACCGGACCGCACAAACTTCCCGCAAATGCTGTCGTTGGATGAAAAATGGGTGGAAAACAATCAAGACACTTATGTTTGCTACTCCTGTGCCGAAGGTATTGTCTACCTTAATGCAATTTTTAATAGCAATTCAGTATAAAAATTGTATTTTATAATATTATTCTACTTCTTACCTCACATTATCATCCCTTTTTAATTAACATTAAATGTATTTTTAATTTAACGCATAAATAGGACACAAAACGTTTTATAGGAAGAACTCCGGAATGACTTACTTCGGACAGGCGTTGAGCCATTCAATCGCTCAGTACGCGTGCGAAGAGTCCCTATCATCGATAATGAGCAGGGTTAGTTCATTGCTTAATTACCAAGTTCATTTTGAAATATAATAAAATATATCTTAAAGTCTAATTCATTTGATATTCAATAGACATGTGATTTACTGCAGTTCTTCACTAAGAATTCTGGCGTTAATTTATTTATAACAATAACTATTACTATTACTGTCATTAATTATTACTAATACAAATTGTTACTTAATTATTAGTGACCAAAACAATTAATATTAAACTAATGGCAGAAACAAACACTTCAGGCACTGATAACGAGATCGGTATGAATGCAATGCCGGTCCGTAACAGACAATCGGCGGACAATAACAGCACGAATAAGACCACTAGTAGTGACGGATCAACTGATAGGATTGACAACACATCACCAGCGACTCCGCCACCACTGTCTGCCACAGACTCCCAGGAAAACAGTGTTAACCAAAACCCAGTGGCATCGACGTCTAGGGCGGAGTCAGAGGTGACATGGCGCGGGACTGGAGCCGCCTCTGTATTTAACCCGACCCCCAGTGAATCGCTGGGACTGGATGTCACGTGTCCGCCATTCACGCGGACCGACGTGGTATTTACCAGTATAACCATAGTGTTTTGCTTGTGCGACAGTGTAGTTGATGTTGTGCGGGCTGTCTATTATTGTTTCGTTGGAAACTATTGGTAATATATTTTTCGGCCATTATATATAATTTACAAAATCTATTTATAGCAGTTATACCGTATTTTCTGACTTAACTTTCTGTAAAACACAGGTATTCCGGTTTCACGGCGGCGTTTGTACTTGTGCCCACTCTGGTTATGGCCAAAATTTTTAGTAACAAGTAATATACAGTTATAAAAAGTACATAATTTCATATTTAATATTTTATCTATTTTGCAGACCTTTAGTTAAGACAATATTTACCGGGCGCTTTTTAAACCATGAAGGTAACCGCAGCTGGGGATACAACACGGTGCATCCCACCCCTTGGCAACGCTATACTCTAAATCTATTGACATCGTATCGCTATTGTGATATATTAAGACAGGGCCAGAAAGTGCGAAAACAATCTGGATCAAATCAAATGAATCCAAGAGATTGCAACGAAGTGGTGGACAAAAAGCGAGAGATGGCTCGTTTGAGAGTAATTGATACCTTCATGGAATCGGCGCCTCAACTCATACTTCAACTTTATATTGTGTCTAAGACTAGCCAACAGTTTTTTGACTTCACTGGGGTTTTCGGTTTGTTAGGCTGGATTTTCAAAGGTATAAAAGCATAATGATAATATAAGTATGTAAGTTTATCAAACTGATTATGATTTACATTGATTATACACAGGGATATTAATGTTGGTAGCATTTTTGACCCTATCGTTGTCATTATTCACGTACGACCGCGCGCTTCGGGATCTCATTAGATTAGCAACAAGTGATATACAGCAACGCTATGACGCATTCATACTACAGGTAATTCATAACCCAAATATATAATTAATTATTAATAATAATTAATCGCAACTTTATTTAATAGGGATTTATCGTAAAATTTATCTGGCGCCTTTTTACTATAGCGGCCCGTGTTTTAGCGCTCGCCCTATTCGCCAGCGTTTTGCCAATTCACCTGGTTGGCTTTCTCATTGGGCATTATATAATAATGTTTGCCTGGGTCGATTACGCCACAAAAGATGTGAAGTACCCTACTACATTATACACTATAAATGGTGTACCTTGCCCAGCTGTTCCACCGTTTGGTCGTAGAGAATATGCCTGTTTAGCCTATGTGCTCACATTTTGTTACCATAATCCCGTTGATAAACGATTTATACCTATGCTAGGTGGGCAGAGATTTTATTATCACACCATGATGTTTATCGGGAATTATATTTTAATGCACTTATGGTACACACATTGTCCGAACACCCAATGGTATAAAGATTACGCCTGGTATACACACTATGTTTGCTTTTTTCTGGGCGTCGCTATTATGGTAAGTTAATTGTACCCGAATAGTGTTCATGAATTTAAATAAACTTTTTAATTGTAGGCTGGCCATTGGTACTATTACCTTCATATGTATCCAAGTGTTCGTTTTGATGGCACATTCAATTGGTTCCCAAAACGTCCAAAAGTCCAATAATGTGCGCACGGATTAACTCAGTCCAAGTGGACGTGTGTGCGCACATCTATGACAAAATCGGGTTTTAATTGTATTATTTTAATTCGTTAGTTATAATGACAAATATGCTCAATACATTATATCAGGGAATTATTATTTTTATTATAATTATTTGTTTAATTACATTTTGTCGTGGTCTAATATTACGGCTACCAATTGAGCTTAATCTTTTATATTTATTAATTTTTATACAATTAATTACATGTAATAATAATCCAATTTTATAATTCATTAAATCTGTAATTAATTGTTTGCTATAAACACTATTTTTATACAATAATAATCAATGAATAAATCAATTTATACAATGACTGCTTATTTCTTATTTGATGTTTGATCTTAATTTATTATGTTTATTTTTTGATATAATTCTATTTAGTTCATTAAATTACCACATTTTTATTTATTTTAAATTTATTGAGAGAGTTAGTGAGTGAGTGAGTGAGAGAGAGAGAGAGAGAGANAGAGAGAGAGAGAGAGAGAGAGAGAGAGAGAGAGAGAGAGAGAGATTTCATTAAATTTTTTAATTAATTGCAATTCAATCTGAAATTACAATTGGTATGAATAAAAATATTTTATTACAATATAACGCTATTATACACTGTACACATGCATAGTTTTGCACACAAAACATAATGCAATTTTAATAAATCATGAATGTTAGCGCTAAAATCACCAGAAAATCACCATGGGACACATCAAACTGGATTCAAAAGCTAATATTGTTGTGAGTAAATAATCTATTTTTGAATAGTTAACTTAGTTTTGACATGTTAACTTTCATCAAAACATATGTGATCTGTAACATATGTGATATTACTTTAATTAGACGCTTAATATTGTTAATTTAGGATTACTTATTGACAATGTTATTGTTAACTTTGTAGTAGATTATGATTAAGGCTGAAAATTGTGTTTTTATTATATATTGTAGTATGAGTCATTTATATGTTTCGCATTATAAGCAACACACTATGAATGTATTGACTTTGTGAAAAATCTGCAATTACACTTTAATCTATAGAAAATGATCCCAAAATGATCCAAAACTTTCAGCCCTAATTATGATATGATTATTGTATTTCACATTCTGTGTTCAAATCTAAATTTAATATTCAGTTATTTTGCAATGAGTATGTAAGAATAAAATGAAATAATTCCTAGAATTTAATTACAACTTATATTTTAATATTTATTTCATTTATTTGTAAAACAATTCACGTTAATTTTAAGCTATATTTTAATGATTGTAACCCTTTTTCCCACACAAACACTGCCGACAAACACAGATATACTGTACACTATTTGTGTTAAATTTAATAAATTGTAATTTTTATAAAAATGTGAAAATAATTAAATAAAAGTTATTCAAAAATTTGAAAGTACTTTAGAAGTACTAAATGAAACATGATGTAAAACTAATTATAATTTTAACCACAAATGAATAATGAGGTTTATAGGATCGTTCGGCTTCCCTTAACACGACCATACCATATGTGACTTCATATGTGATCCCAGCTTAGGTCTATGGCTATACTTAATTATCAATTATAATTTTATGACCTAGATGGATATATCCAGTATTTATGAAGGGTATGCGAAATAATCGTTTGGATTTTGATGACATGTATCGGTGCTCCCAATACGACACTTCCCAGTATTTGGTGGAATGTTTAGAGAAGTTAATTTATTTGTTGAACTAAGTATATATGCTAGTTCTTAAGTTAGCTAGTTTTAAGTTTACGCATGACTAAATCATGTCCATTATTCAGGATCAGTATTCTGAAGCCTAACATGTATACTTAGTTCACCATGTCTAATTTTTATCATTTTCTAATTAGCATGTTATCGTTTCTATAGAATTTAAAACGTTATAATTATAATCATGATTATTATATTTTAACTAACAGTATATTTATGTAGAAATTGGGACAAAGAACTAAAGAAACAAACACCAAGATTGTATACCGCTTTATTCAATACATTTGCCAAATATAATATGTTACCATTCATATTCCTATTATTTGTCGTGAGTTACATTTAATATTATAATTGTTATTATATATAATAATATCTTTGACATAATAATGATTAGAGAGACTCATTCACTGCGTTTTCATTGCTATTATTACTAATGAGTTTTCTATTACGAAAATTGACCAAGCACAATTACGTATGATACCTAAGGGTACTATTGTTTATAATTTAATTTTGTTTGGATATATAAATTTAGCAGTTTTATCACGGTATATTTGGCAACTATATATACTTTATATAATTAATGTTTATGCATAATAGGAATGCGTGGTTCGTATGATACAGGCTTTACTACTCGGTTATGTTATTGATTATTTTGGTGGCGTTGACCTAATTAAATATGACCATGCTTGTATGGCGGCCGGTGGTGTTTGCCTATGCGATATATTAACCACTGTTTTAAGTACTAACAGTAGAGTACGTTTAACTCAACTGGGAATGCGAGCCCGAAGTTCCTGTTGTACTCTAATGTATAAAAAGGTTAGTATCTAGGTAACATAACCTAAGCACCATAAGTCAATTAAAATTGAGAATGTTAAAAATAGTCACTCAAACTGAACCAGTTATCAATGGGAACGACAACTTTGGGTCAGATTATAAATTTAATGTCCAACGATGTAACTCGATTTGATCAGGTATACAATTTATATGTAGTTACTTAAATCTATCAAGTTTATTAATTTAATAATTTAATTATTTGAATTACAGTTTCCACTATTCTGCAATTATTTAATAATAGCGCCAATTCAGTCGGTCATTATTATATATATAATGTACACTTATATAGGATGGGCAGGCTTTGTGCCTGTTGCATTACTAGTTTTATTAATTGTATTTCAATTTTTTATGAGCAAAATGTTTTCAAAAGTCAGGTAAATGTGCATGTTTATATTATTCATTCATTAATACAACATTAAACATTTGCATTCAGATTAATGACCGCAAAGCTTACTGACACTAGGCTTCAGCACATGGTTGAGATCATATCGGGTATGCGTATCGTTAAAATGTATTCCTGGGAACAGCCCTTCGCAGACCTCGTGGCGGAGGCCAGAAAGTAAATGACCATAATTTATACAATTTACAAATTAATTACATACCATATTATAATTTCCAACGCAATTATAGACAGGAAGTTTCGTGTATACAGAGATCTTGCTTTCTAAAGGCAATCAATATGTCGCTGAATAGTTTGGTACCTAGGTTGATGGTATTTTTCTGTTTCATTACCTTGGTGCTCACCGGTGGAGTACTGTACGCTAAAGCTGTATTTGTGTCCATGATGCTTGTTACCTGCATAAGAAACAATATGACCGGGTGCTTCCCAGAGTCAATCACTATGGGGGCCGAGTTATTAGTTTCTTGTAATAGAATTCAAGTAATATTGACCATGGTGTAAATGTTAAATAATAGAAACATTTAAGTTATATTCCTTTAGAAATTTTTGCAATTAGGAGAAACACAAATAAAATTCATTCAAAACTCAAATAATTTATCTAAAAGTAAGACAAGTGGCAAACAATTGCCTGAAGTATACATTAATAACATAACAGCCAAATGGAGTGATGTATGAAATTATATGTTATTTGTGTATTTTATTTAGTTATTTAAAATATTATATATTGATAGGAAAGCCCGTATCCAACACTTGAGAATATATCGGCACATTTAAGACCCGGGGATTTATTGGCTGTTATCGGACCGGTGGGAGCGGGAAAGGTATGAATACTATTAACACTATTGGATAAAAGACAATAATATTGAAAATAATAAATTGCAAATGATTTAGAGTTCACTCTTAATGACAATTCTGAATGAACTGCCGGTTCTGTCGGGAAGTATCGAAACGGTGGGAACGATGAGCTACGCCACTCAGGAGGCCTGGAGTTTCAACACTAGTGTCCGAAATAACATACTTTTTGGGGCCGAATATAACGATATCCGATATAAGCGAGTGCTAGAGTTGTGCGCTTTGGAGCGAGACTTTGAGATCTTCCCGTTCGGAGACAAGACATTAGTCGGTGAGAGAGGAGTACAGCTGTCGGGCGGACAGAAGGCCCGCATCGGGTTAGCCAGGTTTGGGTACATTTTGTTATATACTATACTATAAAGTATTATACTGTATAACTTTGTGTGTCATGTGTAGAGCTCTGTACCGAAACTCTGATATCGTATTAATGGACGACCCGTTGAGTGCTGTCGACACTAGTGTTGCCGAACATATATTTGATAAGTAATGCAATGATTGTTATAATTATGATTACAAATAAGTCTAACATATAATGTATTTGCGATATAATGAACACCAGATGTATAGTCGACTACTTGTGCGACAAAATCCGTATTCTAGTCACACATCAAATCCAATTCATACGAAAAGCGACACAAATATTGGTTTTGAACGACGAGGGAAAGTGTCTGGGATTGGGATCCTATGATGAGCTCCAGTCCCGGGGCTTAGACTTCATGTCTATTCTCAGCGATCAGGAGAGAGAAGTCGACGATAAGCCGGAACAACATATGGATGACAATTTTGACAGCAACATAAATACCCATGGCACTTTAGTTGCAGAGAATTTGACACTAAATGTAACTAATTTTAATAATACAATACATACATGTATAATTTTACTGTATATTAAATTCTTATTATTTTATTAAGAATGGAGAGAACGTTGTCCAACCAAAAACAATTGACGAGGGCCGTGAAACGGGTTCAATATCCGGGAAAGTATATTGCACATTTATCAAAGCAGGCACCGGACCTTTGTTATTTTCCATCACGATCTTATTTACAATTATTGCTCAGGCTATTATACAAGGATCGGACTATTTTTTAGCTCAATGGTGTTTAAATTAAAATCACTTACCATGTGTTTGCTTATATTAAAATATTTCATTTTTACAACAGGACTGACAAAAATCAAAACACGGCTAACATTAAGACCTCTGAGCAGAACAGAGATGTGATTATTTACTCCTCACTGATGGCCGCGCTGTTCATCGCATCCCTATTGAGAGCCATCACATGGTTTGTGATGTTTATGAGGGCTTCAGTTAATCTCCACAACAATATATTCTACCGGCTATTACGGGCCCCGATGTCTGTGTTTGAAAATAACCCAGTTGGTTTGTTATTTAAATCATGAATCATTAAATAAATAAATGATGTAAAATATAATTAATAGGTCGCATATTAAATCGCTTTTCAAAAGATCTTGGTACAGTCGACGAACAACTACCAAGTACAGCGCTTGATTTTAACATGGTAATTCTGATTATTTCAAATCAAAATAAGTTCAAATTTTTATTAATTAATTATCTTTTGTATACAATAATTATTATTTAGAGTCTGACTCAAGGTGTCGGCGGAATAATAATAATCACGATTGTTAATCCATATTTGATTATACCATCATTTATCTTAATTGTAATAGTTTTGGCAGCTAGGGCTGTTTACATCAAGTCAGCTAGGGACATTAAACGGGCCGAAGGTTTAAGTAAGTTTTAATAGAATTAAGTAATAGAATAATAGAATTAGCATTAGTCCTATGTGCTTAGTATTAGTCCCATAAACTTAACATTATCCATATGATTTGTATTATCCATATCTGTGACTGCAATTTCATGTATGAAAGAAATAATAATAAATACAATAATAAATAGCCCGGAGTCCAGTGTACAGTATTCACACGTGAGCACTACATTTAATGGGTTGGCCAGTGTTAGGGCCTTTGGGGCCCAGGATATGTTTGAGAGACAATTTTACATATACCAAGATGATCACTCGGCCACCTGGATGCTCGTCACTACTGCTAACTATGCGTTTGCCTTAATAATAGACGGACTGTGTTTTCTCTATACAGTCATTATATTCACGGTTTTTATGGTATGCCCTGAAGAGTTAGGCGCGGGTGAGACCGGACTGGCCTTATCATCAGGTTCAGTTATATAAAACACAGTATTATTAATACTTTTAGATATCATTTGTCATTAACTATTCTTGCATCTTAACTTTTTCTAAAATTATACTTATTTTATTATAATAATCGAATATTTTATAATATAAAAATAATAATAATAATAATTGATATCAATAATCAAGTTAAAAGCGAGTCCATAACAATAAATAAATGACCAGGCAACAGAATTAATTAATAAATAAAATTTATAAATACATAGCCTTAATGTTGATGGGATTGACTCAATGGGGAGTCTGCCAGTCGGCTGAGGCGGAGAGTCAGATGACTTCAGTCGAGCGCATCATTGAGTACTCAAAACTACCGCAAGAGGCGGCCCTCACAGCCCATGACAGCCATAAACCCCCTCCCGATTGGCCACAGAAGGGACGGATAGAGCTCAAGGATATGAGTCTATACTACGAGGGATCAGACAAACCGGTGCTCAAGAACTTGAATTGTGTGATCAATGCGGGCGAGAAGGTAGGCATCTGTGGCCGGACGGGCGCCGGCAAGTCGTCCATCATATCAGCGCTGTTTCGTATGGTTGAGCCAAAGGGGCGGATAGTAATGGACGGCATTAACACGGGATCTATTGGTTTGCGTGACTTGCGGTCAGTCATCTCAATCATACCTCAGGATCCGGTGGTCTTCACGGGAAGTGTCCGAAAAAATTTGGATCCTTTCGGCGAATATAGCGACCAAAACATATGGAGTGCCTTAGAAGAGGTGAAGCTGAAGGGGGCGGTGGGGGACCTCCCGGGCCAGTTGGACGCCCAGTTGGCCGAAGGGGGCGCTAATCTCAGTGTAGGTCAGCGGCAGTTGGTATGTCTGGCGCGGGCTATACTGCGACACAATAGGGTACTAGTGCTGGACGAGGCGACCGCTAATGTTGACCATAAAACCGATGCTTTAATTCAGGCGACAATTCGCCGCAAATTCAGTGACTGTACTGTCCTTACAATCGCTCACAGACTCAACACTATTATAGATTGCGATCGCGTTTTGGTTTGTATTTTATTTTTATAATTTATTAAAATTTAAATGTAAATAGTTATTAATTAACATAAGATTTGATGCCATCAGGTGTTAGACGCGGGAGAGATCATAGAGTTTGACGAACCGTTTGTTTTACTGCAACGAAAGGTACAGTTGTATGACATGTGCCGCAAGACTGGGAAACATATGTTCAATCATTTACTAAATATGGCTAAAGAATTACATCTTAAGAGACTTAATGCCACACAAGTCGACGACGAGGACAGGGATTGGGAGTAGTGATGGAAATGTTGGTATCAGTACCGCGATACGGTACTGGCATATCCTAGTACCGTTCCAGTACCTCGATACCGATACGGTACTGGTACTGGTGTTCCGATACAAACGGTACTAACGATACTAACGATACAAACGGTACTAACGATACTAACGATACTAACGATACAAACGGTACAAACGGTACTAACGATACTAACGATACAAACGGTACTAACGATACTAACAATACTAACGATACAAACGGTACTAAAGATACTAACGATACAAACGGTACTAACGATACTAACGGTACTAACGATACTAACGATACAAACGGTACTAACGATACTAACGGTACTTCATGTATCACAGTATTCAATATTTAACATGATTAATATTAATTAGATTTTAATTAATTTTGCACCATTTGTGTATAATTCAAAATTATAATAAATAATGTTTAAAAATAAATAAACAATATGGTTTAAAATAATATTTTATTAAATATTGTAATTTTTTCTGATAAATAATAATTGATCTACATTTTCAGGCGATAATCGGCTCCTCCTTGACTCCAATACTCTACCGCTTGCACTAAAAGTGCGTTCAGATTCAAACTGTGTTGCGGGTACAGCTAAAATAACCCGTGCCATTTGAGATAATTTTGGAAATCGTTTACAATTATTATACCAAAATTGCAATAAATTATTGTTATCGACATTATTAGTGTTCATATTTAAATACAGGTCTAATTCATCACAATTATTATGAATTTCACAATCAATATCATCATCAGAATTATACAATAATTCCTCTGTTAATGAAATTTTTGCCTTTTTAGCCATTGGTTCTGTATTTGATGTAATGTTGTTTAATTGATTATCGATTGTATGGGATTTTAGATAATTATTTACATAATCAATAACTTGATGTTTATCAGAGTTATTTAAATATTTTAGATCTTTGCGTTTTGGATCAAACAATAGAGATAATTTATGTATAAATTGTATTTTTATATACTTTTCAACGTGATTTTTAAAAATATCAATTAAATCACTAAAAACATTATTATCACAATTAGTGTTATTATTTAAAACTGATAACATTTTTCTCTTTAACGGTACGACTAAATGAATTGTTGGCTCTTTATTTGTTGACACAATTAATGTTGATTTATTAAATATTTCCAAAATATTAACCAGTTCTTTTATCAACAATTCATCAATATTTTTGATACACGAATACAGTTCTTTATCACACATTAAATATTGTTTTAAATTTTTATATTGTTCACTAAAAGCACATAACATTAAATATATTGAATTAAAACGTGTCTCAATTGATTGAGGTATTGCTTTAAAATCTTGCGAAAATTGACGCATTAATCCCTTGCGTTTCATTTTAGTTATTAATTCTTTAACTTTATTAATATTTTCGGAAAATTCTTTAATTTTTTCACTAATTATAGGTTTAGTTGAAAATAATGTATTTTTTACTGTAAGATTAATGTTATGGCCAGTGCATGATATCCAATGATATTCAAATGCATTTGTCATATTACTCGCATTGTCGGTAACAAAATAATTATTATTATTCTTGCATTTAAATTCACACAAAATATTATCAACTGTATGGTTAATATGTTGAGCTGTATGACTATCAGTCATTTCTCTTGTGGCCAAAATTAAGTTATTAATTATCCATTTATTTGATATCACACAATCATCAATGTAATGCGCTGTGACTGTAATATAAGAGGCACCAGTCTGGTCATGCTTCCACATATCAACTGTAATTCCCATACCATTGCAATGTTTAATAGCATTCAATACTTTGCATTTAATGTCATTATAAATTATTGGCACTCTATTTGATATTGTGTGAGATGTGGGTGAAATATCATTAAAATTTATTTTACCATATTTAGCACCGATATTGATTAAATTTTGTGCCAATTGTTTAAAACCTTGTCCTTCAATTAAGGTAAACGATCTCATGTCAATAGCACAACACATAACTGTAGAGTCGGTTATTTCACTTTTAATTAAAGTTTTATTATTAATAGATTTTTGAGTGTTTACAAAATTGTCGAGATTTGGTTGATTTGGTTTTGATTGACATTTATGTTTAGTTATTACTCCAGTTCCATAACCTTTTTTATGCTTTAATACATCATTACATTTGATACAAACGATATAATCACTCTTTTCACCATTAAGTAATACTCTTTTAAATTCTGTCCATTTAGGTATTTTACCATCAGGAACTGCATAACTGATTTCATTTGATTCACTTTTTATTAATTGAATTATTTTTGACTTATTGTCATCACTAGATTGACTAATTGTTGTCATGTTAGTAATAATTTAGAGTAAATTTAAATCAAAGCACATGTTTTGAAATACACTAAAGCTATGAGAATACGCATGCGCATATAATTATAACAACGATACTAGCGGTACTATAGGTACTAACGATACTAGAGGTACTAACGATACTAGAGGTACTAACGATACTAGAGGTACTAACGATACTAGAGGTACTAACGATACTAGAGGT